CTGCAAGGTTCTAGCCTACGACAGGAAAGGCCTTCATGACTAAGTGCCAGAACACTCTCATACTGTCAGCTCTAAGAATCTCTTTCTCCAGCCACTTGCCACGGCCTAAACTCTACCCCATTGCCTCCAGCAGGTGCAGGAGTGAAGCAGTCAATAAAATGGTTTGGAAACTAAACCCTTTAGGTTCATATCTTCCCAATTAGGTAAGACTCACTAGACTTACTACCCTTTATATCCCTGTGATTCCGTTTCCTTATCCATAAAAGGAAAGAGCAGTCCCTCCTCATGCCATTAGAATTCCATGAAATAACAAGCAGAGTGCTCTAGAAGTGATGCCTGGCATCTGGTAAACAATGGACAAGGGTGGGAAGTGCTATTAGTCAAGAATTCTCCTCATCCTTCACAGCCCAGGCTCAGCCTCCCAAACTAGAGGTGATGAGGGCTCTCTCTGCTCTCACAGCCTATGATGGTAGGTCGCCACCCTGCCCTTACTCTATTTTGCTGTATATTCTTGTCTGTCTCCCACATTAAACCATGAGCCTTTTGAAGACACGGGCCTGAGTTCAATTCCTGGGTTGGGAAGATTCCCCTGGAGAAGGTAAAGGCTATCCACTCCAGGATTCTGGCCTGGAGAATTCCATGGACTGTATAGTCCATGGGGTCACAAAGAGTCAGACACGACTGAGCGACTTTCACTCACTTCACTAAATCCATGTTATCTGAGGACTATAATCCACTTTAATTTTACACCCACAAAGACCTACAACATCTTGAGTGCAGTAGATTCTCTCTAAACCTTTCCCAGATAAAAATTAATCTGAGAAAGGAAATATAAGTGGGCAGCTGAAAGGTATAACCTTTGGGGTTGCATTTGAGGACAGAGCCAAGGAGCCAGGGCATTTTCCCCGTACCAGTCTATCCACTGAAGACATCTTCTCAGCAGCCAAAAGGCATCTGTGAAGGCAACCACTTGAAGGTGGTCATGAAATGAACTGAATGTGATAGTGAACAGGGCTGGGATTCAGAGAATCCAAGAATCTCCTTCAACTGTGGTCAAAATGGTGTCCAATGAGCTTTTTTTTCCCCTAGAAAGTCTCTCTAGATAGATTTCATTGGATAGTCAGTGGGTCTGCATACATGCCAAGTCGCTTCAGTTGTGTCTGACTCTTTGCTACCCCATGGGCTGTAGCCTACCATCCTCTGTCCATGGGGATTCTCCAGGCAAGAATACTGCAGTGGGTTGCCTTGCCCTCTTCTAGGAGATCTTCCCAACCCAGGGGTTGAACCTGTGTCTCTTATATCTCTTGCATTGGTAGAGGGGCTTCTTTACCACCAGCGTCACCTGGGAAGCCCTAATGGGATCTGACAGCACCCGAATGAAGCCAGAACACTCTCATATTGTCAACTCTAAGAACTCTTTCTCCAGCCACATTGCGCCACTTGCAAAGGCCTGAGCACTACCCTATTCCCTCCAGTACGTATAGGAGTGAAGCAGTGAATAAAATGGGTTTGGAAACTAAACCAATTAGGTTTGTATCTTCCCAATTAGGTAAGACTTACTAGATTAAGATTACTTACTAGATTCCTTACTAATTAAGACCCCTTGACCTGGTTATTCAGAGACAAAGTGCTTCGCTCTAGAGCCTTAAATGGAAGGAAGACAGCTTTCCTTACAGGGCACACACCTACTGAGTAGGGAGAACTGGGCAACAGGTGCTTGGCGATTTTAGAGGAAAGCTAGGAGAGGCTCCTTAAACCATTCCATGTTAAGAGACCGACAGAGAGAAGAATAATAGGGCCCTGGTCACCTCCCCAGTCTGCTCCTTTGAGGGATCTGAAGCCAAAGGTCTCTATCATGACACACAGATCCCTGACTTGGGGCACGGATGCTTGCCATTGGCTCAGTCTAGTTGTGAGGGTTGTTTTCTGTGTCAGGGTAACTGAAAAAACATACTGCCTCAGGATCCAGACAGAACAAGCAAGGCAGTTGGTCTATGATGGTGCAGAGAGGGAAGTGACACCTGGAAGCCAGGGTAGGCCTGCTACCAGAACAAAGGGGCACAAAGACCATCAGTATGGAGTCCCTGCTGCATTTCCTGCTGGCAGATGGCTTGCAAGGACCCCTCACGCAGGAGTCTGTTGTATTTGCAGAGGCCACAGCGGTAAATTAGAGCCCAGCCCAGCCAATTCTGGGCTCTCCAGTTTCTCTCAGAATGTTTCCTATCACTGCCCATAGGCCACTAAAACCTGCCCGCTTTCAGGATGATTGATTCTGCTCAAGCAGCAAGCCACAAACTCATGTCGAAACACCCACTTCAAAGGAGTCATTAGCCTCTTTTATGGATGTTTCAGGTCATGAGGAATAGGACCTGTGAGCCCCATCTCTTGTAGAGTAGATAGGGAATGTTTGCAGATGTGGTGGAGGGTGGGGGGGACTGTTTCCTGTCAATCAGCAAGATGAAGCTAGGAAAAAATAAGTCCTGGCGACCTCATGGCCAGAGTCAGGGATTCAAACCAAACCACCCATGGGCTCTTCATTCCTACCCTAGAAATGAAGGGCAACAGCGACAGGGCTCCACAGAGCCTGTGGAGTGTCCACAGACAGACTCCATCTTGACTCTGTAAAGTACCTGGAACACAGAAAGTTGTGGTCAGGGAGGGGAATATCTAAGACTTTCTGACTTGTCACGGGACAGCCCGTTCCAACTGAGCACCGATCGAGGTCGTCATGGGCTGGCGGGGTAAAGAGCTCCAGTGACAGCAGCCACAGTCAGAGCAGCAGCCCAAAGGCAGCAACACCAGAAACCTGAGTTCTGTAGCTCGGCAAGTTTCAGCTCACCGCCTGACCCACGTTTAGCAATTCTGATGTACCGCAGAGCAGACAGCCCCAGTCCAGGATGACTGCCTCCCTCAGCCCCACTCCGACAGGCAATGCAAGCAAGACCCACTTTGAAAATTCTCCCCCATCATGCAAACTGACACAGGCATGCTTTTCAAAAACCCACAGCCAATCTGTTGATCATTACTTATTTACAAAGGCCTTCGGGCAGAAAGTCCTGTAAAAACCATACTTGATACGGTATATACTAGCTTTTTCTGCTTGTGGAAAAAAAGTCCCCCAAGGCTACCTCAAACCATCACTTTCTATTGCACATAAAATGTAGCGTGTAACACTAAAGTATTTAATATATAGGGTATAATATATCTACAGGAAAGGCATTTGTGTAGAAGTATGTTACCCCGGATTTGGTAATTTGATGTTTTGCTGAAGGCTACGACTTAAAAAAGCTTCCACCTCGTACAGAAGACCTGTCATCTTGGTACCCAAGAGCCAACAGAATAAAGAAGTACCCTTAAGCAGCAAAACTTTGACACAGCTTTGAAGCATATGAAAACAGTATAACTCCTCAGAATTATTATTACTCAAGATCAAAGAAATGAGCCATACTTTACATAGCAAACAGGGACAGGGAATTTGGCTCCAAAGGTTTCAGATTTTTCAGACTTCTCTTTATTTATTTATTTGCTTCACTAAATTTAGGCAAAAAGAAAGCGCTGGGCTTCTATTTTCAGTGGATAAAACTATTAGCATGAGATAAGGTGATCACCTAATGGTGAGTAAATAGAGAATGGACGCGAGCATGACAAGTGGCATTGGAAAAACAAGGGCTTGGCAATTGACACGTTTTATTTCTCCTCATAAACTGTAAACAAGCAGGTAAATCAGCAGCACCCAAGCAAGACTGAGCAAATGGGAAACCAGAAATACCGAACAGGAAGAGAGGATTGTGATGGAAAAGGACGTGGGGCTGGGTGAGTCTTCTCTTGGGACTTGTGTTCTCGACCACATGAAGGACTGCCCTGTCTCCATCCTAGAAAGATGGTTGTGGAGAGGCAGAAAGAGGCTAATGCTAGGAAAAGGTGGGGAGGAGGAGGAATTCATCCTGATTTTTGTATCAGTCATCAAAGGGAGGAGAGTGGCCAATGGCAATGAGAAGAAGAAAGCACCATCAAGATGGCAGGTGTTTCCATGACAGGAAACATTTAGGGAAAGCAGTACAAACCTGAAATCATTCCTGTTTCATTGAGGTGCTGGAGAGTGAGGATGATGAGGGAAATAAGCACTAGGATTGGGAGATGAATCGGAGACCAAAAAAGGGGAGAGGAAAGATGAAGAAGCCAAGAAGAGGAACCAACAGAAGTCTATTGAAAATTGGCTTCACTTGCCTTTTCCTAGAGGAAGCTGCAGTCAAGATAGAGAGGAGGGAAGAAAGGAAAGAAGGAAGGGAGCAAGGGAGGGACAGAGAGAGGGACAGAAGGAGGGAGGGAAGGAGAGAAAGAGAGCAAAAGAGTGCTCACAAGCACTATTTCATAATTAATATTGCTTTTAGCCTGAGCAGAAGTGGATTACTTTTGAACTTTGCTTTGGCAAGTCCACAGATTATTAGACTTTTTTATCAGTCAAAATCAATTAGCAGAAATTTGATTTCAATCGACAGGATAAAGAGAAGGTAATCTTCAGGTTCATTTTTGATTGTGATGATACATCTCACATATGGCCTTAAGTACAGAAAACAGTCCTCGGAGGGACTCCAGCAGAAAGAGACTTGCCGGAGGCAAACTAACCACATGCGTCCCTCTGATTGGCTGCTGCCGTCATTAGTGCCACTGCTGTTTAGGAACAACACAGAGACAGGACATGGTGACAGCTCAGACTTTAAAGCCTATGTATTTTTCAAACAGCTTTTCAAACTGTTTTTCATGACAGAATTTTTTCAGCTCTATCATTAACTGCTGACAAGCTGACAGAATAAATACTCCAGCCTTTAAGAAGCCATCTAACGATCTCGTCCCCTCCTCCCCTGCAAGCTTGCTAGGGAGGAGAGCCTCTGGGCCCCGGAGGGTTGGGGTGGGGGGGTGGCGATGAGAGGAGATGGAGCGAGAGAGGGGCCCGCCACCAGGGGACCCACTGCAGAGCCCGGGCCCCCATCCATCCTTACCTCATCAGCTTGGGCGAGGAGCTGGGTGAGTTCCGCATGCCTCCGTTGCGCTGCTTTTTTTTGGGTGACAGTGTCGACGGCTGCTCATCTTCAACTGGAAATACAGGCAGCTCATGAGATTATGAACAGTTTGAGGGCAGACTGTGAAATACAGGCAAGATATCAAAGGACACACACTTACGGCTCAGTCACTCACTAGGAATTCATGGCCGTGTCTTAGGACCCGATGACAAAAACCAAGGCGTTAGTCAAAGAGCCCGGCTTAAGGGAGGTGAGAGCATCACCTCTCAACACTCCAGCATTTAAACATGCACTTTCAAAGACTAAAACAATTTATAAACACCCTGCCGATAGAAAGAACAGAAATTGCAAAAATATGGATGTATATATGGGAACACGCCATCATTCTGCTTAGAATTCAATTTGGTTCCTTTGCCTTGCTGGATGACCAAAAGTCAGAAACAGAGTTGTCTTTGAAGCAGCCGCATGAGAGCTGCCAGCTGGCTGCTTCTGCAAATGAACCAACAAAACTGGTTCCTAATTCCTGCACGCCAGAGGAAAAGAGCCTTGGAGAGGCAAGGATTGGAGGCCTTAACAGCCAATGTTTCAATCCATCAGGACTGGAAACATTGGTGGGTTCTGGATCAAGAATCCCAGCCCAATGCAGCTCTTGTCCCTCCACCTCCCAGGAGAGAGGGCCTGTGGGGCTGTGTGTGTGGGGTCTTTTCTCAATTCATTAAGATGGGAGAAAGGGGGCTGCAAGCACCCAAACGAAGGAGGAGGTTGCCATTGAATGATATCTCTGATGATGCGGGGGGGTGCGGGGAGGTTGCAGGAAAGCAGGGCAGCAGAGAGTATTGGAGACCACAGGTTGTTTTCCAAATGTTTAAACCACACAGATTGCTAAGCAATGTGAAGCTCTGCTCACAAACAACACAGCATACACTATTGCTTTTGCCCAAAGACACCCACTAATAAGCTCTGGAGATGTATTAGCCTGCATTGTGCTTCTTTTAATTTTAAGAGAACTGCTTGATAATTAGTAGATGCATACCCAGCCTGTCACCCAAGGGCACCAGAAGCAAAATCCTAGTCTTCCTCTCCCCACCCCCACGATTAGGGCTAAAGCTGTAATGTCAAGAGTGAAAAACAGGATCGTTGGATTCTTATTGTTGACTGCAACACAGACTGGGAGGAAGCATCCCTGAAACTCGAAATGACACACAGTTACCTTAAAGCTAAGAGGAGAAATATTAGCAGCGACAACATCAAAAGAAGCTTGATAGGTGTTAAATGTGTACAAGGCTTAAGTGGGGGAAGAGATGCCATTTCAGCTACTTGATATTATCCAGGAAGACCCATATCAGAACATGCATGATATGGTACTTCCCTGAAAACACTAAATACATTTAATGTCATGATATATAGCCCCAAAGAGTTTATAATAATCCAGTGTTAGTGTTAGTCACTCAGTCGTGTCTGACTCTTTGCAACCCCACGGACTATAGCCCGCCAAGCTTCTCTGTCCATGGAATTTCCCAAGCAAGAATACTGGAGTGGGTAGCCATTTCCTTCTCCAGGAGGATCTTTCCAATCCAGGGATCGAACCCAGGTTTCCAGCTCTGCAGGCAGATTCTTTACAGTCTGGTCAACAGGGAAGACCATGATTATCCAACTACCCTCTAAATGCTTCCAAGCATCACCCTTGGTACACTCCTTCATTCTACTGTCAGTCTGGGGTTGTCTAACTTTTGGCTGACACAGGGAAATGGAACAAGAATGTAGTTGGAAGTGACAGTGTGACCAGAAGAAATAAAGGCAGATAAATCACCTGCAAATGCCCTCAGCCCTTACACTCTATCACCTGCTGCTTCCCCTGCATGGTCTCCCCTCCCCCACCCCAACCCCACCCACCCGCCAGAGGCCCAGGCATAGGCTGTGACCGTATCAGTCACTTAGGTCTCCAGGAGGGAACTATGTGGCTGGAAGGATATCGCATCTTATCAGAAATGAGTATCCACAGCAAATCACAGAGACTAAACAGCACTTAAAAGATTAAAGGAAATAAATACAAGCCACATAAATGGTATTGAAAAAAATCACTTAGAGGTGATATGCATCTCTCAGCAAGCAAGCAGGCACTCTCTTCTTGACCTGCATTTATCTTCCTTTCGTAGGAGAGGGGCCAGGCATCCCAGGCAATGATGGGGTAGAAAGGGAGTAAGATTGAGAGACAGAGAATGTGTATAGCGTAAGTGTACTTTTGCACTTTCCCCACCTTGGGATGGGGTAGAAAGTCTTACGCTGACTGCCCATGTAATACAAAGTCATCTTTTAATATGGGCCACTTGCAATGGTTGTATTTTGTTCAAGATGACCTAGATTAGTTGAGTAGCATGATGCACTGAACAACACGTGTGCATGTGAGTTGATCTAGCTGGAGGTGGAAATTCTTTTCTTCTAACCACACAAGCCTTCTTATGGTTAGGATGAAATGTCCAAAAAGGTTTTTTACCTACCCTAGGCTAGCTTTATTCAAGCCCACCAGATATTGCCATGGTTTTGTCCAATTATACAATAAGCCTGTGTTTGTAGGAAGTCACAGTCTCTGGCATTTCTGCTGAATTCTTTTGCTTAACTTTGCTTTCCTCATTTGCACTGGGCTAATGACACATAACCCTCTCCTGTTAAGTGCTCATTAACCTGGCACCTGTTCGCTGTCTGTTTATCTGCAGTGATCTTCAGATGGAAGACTTGCAAGTTAATACCTGTTCGCCAGCTCCAGGGAAACACCTTGTTCTGGTGCTAAAGTCAGGCCTCCTTCTATGCAAGGAAACGATTTATTTTCATCACAACTCAGAAAGCTCATCCATCATAATCATACTGCATTTAAACTGGGATTTGTTCTCTTAAATGAAATGCATGTTCAAAGGTTTCCTCGTGTACTGGAAATGCAGATCTGTTCCCTGAAGAGACGGGTCAGGGTGGGGAGGGGGGCGGTCAGGGAAATGTCTCCAGCTTAAATATACGAACGCTGTGTAATGGAGACCATTACACGTGGCTTAGATCCCACTAGAGGAGCCGTGATCACTTCTGCCTCCTAAGTAGGATATAAACCATATTTAATTATTATCCTTTTATATGGATTCCATCAATTTCTGCATATTTAAGGAAAGCAGATTGAGGAAAACTTTTAGTTAAGCTATAAAATATAATTTTCATTTCATGGCTTCTGTGACTACATGAGACGAATAAAAATTGAATTAAAAAGGGAGACTTACTTCGGTGAAAGACAAGTATTAAAGGAATGGGCTACTACCTCATGCCAACACACATGTCCAGGTTCACAGTTAGCCTGGTTTCTGGCTAATTATAATACACCTCTGTCTCCGGCATTTCCACTAAGGTCCTCCTGCTGTGGAAGCAGTAGGAAGATAAGATCTTTTAAAGGAACCTGACTTACCAGCTTCTTTAAAACACAAACAAGTTCAGGAATCCAATGTGGAATTTTTATAGGAGCTGAACTCCATCCAGTCTCTGAGTACTCATAAAATTCAAGGGCTTGTTTTTGCACATCCCTAAGTATAACACTTAATGTGCTGTTGTAACTTCCCAGTGCTCGCTTGTCTAATAGGCACTGAATCTAACAGTTTTACAGTTTGGGAAGACTCAGTGCTAGAAAAATGTCAGGCAAATCTAATGAGCCTTCAGATCCCTTGGTTTGCGCTGGAGTTTAATTTAAAGTTACAATGATGTTTTAACATGTTTGCTTATACTTGACTAAAGAGGATTCATTATTTCAATGACATAACCTCCAGACAATGTTCTGGGAATTGATTTAAGATGTGGTGGTAATTCCAACAGCCTTAATGCAGAGCCGAACATCTGTAACAACATTTTACTCAACTTTTCATCGGCACTCTTTTTTAAGCAAAAGCAAGGCAACGTCTTCCAGAAACACTGGCCAGAACTCCGGGCTCCTTTCAAGATGATAATATACTTTACTGCACTTTTTTAAAAAAGAGAAACCCCTTTCTTTATTGGCCTAGCCAACTTGCAAACACTGTCAAGGTTCATCAATGCCTCTTCATGGGCACTTTGAGTAAAATGGGGCAACAATTTCAGCTTGCCTACGTAGTCCAGAGCTGACCTGTAGTGGACCCAGCTCTCAGCTCCAGCCTGGGGCACATTCCTTTGTCCCTGTTTCCTCAACAGGGTTTAGGGGGATGATGCCCTCTGAGACTTAAAGGTGAGTTTGTTGGCTGCAGTTAAAAAATAGTTCAAAGCAAATAAACTCGGAAATGTAATAAAAGGCAAACAACCCATAAACATGAGTCAACTGGCTATCTCCATTACGTTATTAATCACCACATCTGGCGAAACCCACATCTGCACACACTTAGCAGATCATTAGTAATGTCATATTCACACTGGAATCACTCAGAATAAGAGGCATGCAAAGTGGTTTGAACGCAGAGGCATAGAACTAACAGAGCTTCCGACTGGAGTCCTGTGCAAGCTGCTAGTTTGGGGGGAGGGTAGTTTAAATGATTATTTATCATTTTGTATGGATTTTCTCTTTGGTATTTTGCTGCCCAACAAGCTAGATGCATGCTGAAATCCACAGTAGTACATCTTCTTTCTCCCCCTGAGCTCAGCATGTTAAGGTAGAACATTAAGGGGTGCAGTTATTAAAAACTGGGATGGATTCCAGAGCTCCTTCACCTGGCTCGGTCACAAGCTGAGAATTGTGAGCTGTGTTCTTGAACTCAAATGGGTCTTTGGGATAGCGTGATCTAGCTCCAACCTTGACTGCCAAACAATAACAAGAAAAAAAACTGAAATTAATCCTTTGTGAAATTTTTCATTAGAAAAGCTCCAAACCAGTTTTCACATTGAACAAAATTATAGTTTTAAATTAAAATGGAAGTTTCTTCCCTCACAGCTAAATTGCAGGGTTTTTCTCTCTTCCCCCCGATAACTTCTTGAAATTCTTTTTGCTGCATTATTGTCATCGATGTCAGATGGGATAATGTGTCAGCAGACAATCTTGTTTGTGTCATCATTGCCCCAAATATACAGAGTTCCTTTCTC